TTTTTGGGGAGCTAAGTTATTTTATCTCCCTTTGTATTCCTTTCCCTCTATTCTCTTAATTTAATGAAATTGATGTTATTGATCAAAAAAAAAAAAAAAAAGGCATGGTTCAGTAGGTTCAGCAAGTGGGTTTTAGGCAGTGCCAGACAGATCATACACTGTTTGTGAAGAGGGAGCAGGATAAGATCATAATGCAAATCGTGTACGTAGATGACATTGTCATCATGGACAACTAGAAGTCAGAGGTAAGGGAGTTGAAGAAATTCATATCCTCTCAATTTGAAGTGAAGGATATTTGTCCTCTAAGATACTTCCTAGGGCTTGAGGTTGTCTATTCCAACAAGGGCATTTTTATTTCTCCAAAGAAGTATATCCTAGATCTCCTACAAGATTTTGGTAAGCAGGTAGTCAAGTCAGCTAATACCACTATTGGATACTGAGTAGAACTGCAAAACCACAAACTTAGGGATAGTGAGGGAGGAGTTCTTCTAGACATCAAACAATAACAAAGATTAGTTGGGAGGATTCTATATTTGCCTATGATTACGCCTGACATCACCTATTTTGTGACTGTTCTTAGTCAACCATGGTTTTAAAAGGCGACCGAGGCAAGGTGAGGCAGCCAAAAAATGCCTAGTCTCGGTAGTCTCTAAAGATTCTGCAGGGTGGTAGCCTCAGTTGTGAGTCATACACCTCTTGCCTCAAGGTGTAAAACAATTGAGGTGGTAAATGGTATTTTTTTAACTGGGGTAGATATGGCAAAAAGTTAAAAAAAAAATGTTAGGGACTTAGGGTAGTCGAACAGATAGGGGTTTTCCCTCTTCTCTTCTTCCTTGTTCAGAACTTTGAAAGTGAGAACAAACCACTCCAGTGCTCTAGTGCTCCTCAACAGCTCAACCTCCATTGAAACGGAAACCGAGGTTCTTTTTTTTTTTCTAACTTTCCTGCTTGTTTGGCGCATAGGATAACTCCAACCCTCCAAGGTTTTAACCGTAACTTTTTTGAGTTTCTATTTGAATACAAACCGAAAACAGAGTTTTGAGTTTCCCACCGTTCCATCTTCAACTTTCATTCTAATTTTTTTATATTTTTCTAAATTTCTAATTTTCTTTTCAGATCAGAACACAAAACAGAGTAGCACTGAAGTCTGTAACAGTCGACTGACCATTCATTACTTATCAAAAAAAAAAGTTGAGTGACCATTGACCAAGGTAAATTCTTATTTTATTTCTTAAATCTTAATCTGTTAGGGTTATTTGATTACTTAGTGTTCTCTAATCTCTATTAAAAAAATTAAAATTGTGGCTATGGTAATTCTTAACATTTTTTTTTGACTGTCACATGAAGAAGAGAATGAATGGAGTTGGACTTTTTTAACCATGTTCACTGAAACCATGGTTTTAGTGAGAAGGGACTTGCTCCAAAAGAAATGGATGTAATTTGGATGATCATTAAAATTTTAGAATTTAGAAAACAAGATTTCAAATCAGGTTTTGATCTTTGATTAGACTTGAAGCCTTGAAAGTTGAAATTGGAACTTTAACTGAAATATTGGTAATTTTTTATTCATTTGGGAATTGGAGAACCTGCTTATACTAATAGGAACAAATTCTAGTTAAATTTTCATGATTATATTTCATAAAAATAATCTCGAAAAGATTTGAACGCACAATTAACAGTTATTGGACCATGATACATTAAACAAGTCACACGTAATTACACAAAGTTTCAATTATTTGTTTCTTTCTTTTTTAACTGATCAAAAAAAATTATTTGTTTCTTTTTATGTTTTTTTATTATTTATGAACTATGTCCATAATTTTTAATCTTTTAGTTTGAGATTTACACCTCACCACTCTAGCACCCAACCACCTCGCTTCACCTTTAGCCTTTTAAAACCTTGTAGTCAACACATGCACTCTCAGAAAAGGAACCACCTTCTAATTGTGGAAAGGATTCTTAGGTACTTTAGGAAACATCCTGGCAGAGGTATCCTTTTCTGTAAACATGGCCATGTAAGAGTTGAAGTGTACATTAATGCTAATTGGGCTAGGTCAACAGATGACTGTAGGTCTACTACAAGTTACTATACTCTATTGGAGGTAACTTGGTGACATGAAAGAGTAAGAAGTCTGTGGTGGCCAAATCTAGTTCTGAGACTGGGTACCGTGCCATGGCCCATTTTGTAGCTGAGGTGTTGTGGATTAAGAACCTTCTGGGAGAGTGGGGATTTCATGTGAATGGTCGGTCCTATGTCTCTCATTCTCTCTACTATGACAACAAGGCAGCCATTAATAATATCATCCAAATTCTATTTTGCATGACTGAACTAAGCACGTAGTGGTTAGAAAACACTTAATAAGAAAAAAGATTGAAATGGAAGAAGTGTGTACCCCATATGTAAACTCCAAAGGTTAATTGGCTCATGTATTCACAAAGGGTGTGAGCTCTCTGCGTCATACTAAACTATGTAACAAGTTGGGGATGATTGACATCTATCTTGAGGGGGAGTTTTCTAATGTTGTAATCTGTATACTTTTAGGTAAAGGGGGTATTTTAGACATTTTACTTTATGTTATGTCACCCTAATAAAAATAAAAGGGGTGAATGCTGCCAGCCACTCTTGACTCTTTCTCCTCCCTCTTCTCCTTTCTGCTCTCTTACACCATTGCATATCTGATTTCAATGTTTTTCGGACTGAAACACCAGGTATGGAGCAGAGGATTATATTAAAGCATTTCTGTTACTTCAGTAAATTCTTGCCTGGTTTAGAGATTTATAAAAGTTTCTTTGAATGTCTTCATGGCGTCTTTAGAGATGCAGCTTGTCATAAACAAACAGGGACATAGTAAAAATGTGAAAGCAATCTGGCAATCTGGATCCTTTTTTTTTTTATTATCAGCAAAGAAATCTGGAATTTGCAGATATAGTATCAGTTCATATGATTGAACAAAAGATGGAGCCATTTATACATGCTACTTTCCTTTAGGTATATATCAATTAATGAAATTAATAACCAAATAAATATTATAACTTGTGTACCACATAGGTATCTCCTAGCAGTACAAGTTCAGAAGCAGAGCACATGTACATTTGACAAGCATAGATAGTCAAAATTTTAAGAGGGACAAAACAAAGGAAATTGCATTTCAGTATATATTTTACATTTAAGCTTCAAAACTACCAAATTTATGCAACTTTCTGAAGTATAAATCATGTAAGCTCTCAGCTTGCTCCATTAATGCTTCAAGTAGCAGCTTATCTAGAGGGGGAGTGGTGGTACCTGAAGCATCTCTAATACTCATTAAAATGGATGGCACCAGCTTTCCATACAACATAAGTTGTTGCAAACATTACTGTACTGATGAAGACAAATGAGAATATAATGATAAACAGATCAGTACCCCCTGGAAACTGAAAAGTCCAGCCTTGCTTTGGTAACCCCCTTTTGCTGTCATCAAACAAGTTTGAAGGAGCTTCAGGAAGACCAGATCTTTTCTTCCCTCGATCACTTTCTCTTAAAGCATCCAAAACTTTGCTTCCCATTCCCATATCTGATTTAGAAGGCTTTGATTCTGTATATCGGCTGAGAACACGGGCAGCTCTCAGTTTCTCTCTTGCTGTCAATGGTGATCTCTTCAGTGTAGGTTGGACATCTGGAGAAGATGATTCCTTCTGTTTCACGTTAGGACCTTGTAACCCATCAGAAGCTTCTGAGATTTGAGGCACTGGTTCATTGTTGGCACTAGTTTCAAGTTGAGAATTCAAGGTTACAGATTTCGCTGCTGAGAACTGGTTATCAAAGATTATACTTTCCACATTTTTGGAATCGTTACTAGTGGGGTCTGTGGCCACATGATTACTATCTGCAGCTAAGTGAACCAAGTTGCCTCTATTTTCCTTTATATTCCTCCTTGAATGAAGCCATAGCTGTGAGGATACTGCAATGAAGTTGGTCTTCAACCTAGGAGCTCCCTTATAAGGTATTGAAATATTTTGGAGTTTTGAAAGCACCTGTTGATGGAGTTAGTAAATAATATGTAGATGGAAGGAAAAGGGAGCATTCATTCATGCACTTTTTTTTTGTTCTACAGGAAAGAAAGGAAACCTTAAAATTTATTCGTTTGTCTCATAGAGAAGGATCATGAACAATTTTTGTTGTTGTTATTATTATATTTTTTTCTGATTGTCACATGCACAACTTTGTTAAGAATTCAAATAATCAGAAGGAACCAAGAGGTTGTGAGTGGAATTATAGTTCCTATATAGAACATTTAAGATGCACAATTTTAATATGTTATATTTCAAAATTAGCAAAATTAATATCGTTTAACCTAGTTGAAATAAAGGACTCTTTACCAAGTTCAGATCATGAAAACTAACATGACACTCCAAATTACTTTCAAATCTTAAAGGTTGGAAGATGTAAAAACCTCATCAACCCCATTTTAATGGGCACATGTTGTGATGACCATTTTTTGACATTGCTGGACTAAGATCGCATTTTGATGTACACAAAAGTTTGCCAGATGCATTAAAGAAATGTTCATCTGACAACATATAAGTAAGCCATAAGCACGATAATAATATGTACATTTAAATATACAAAGGAGACCAGTAAGATAAACAACAAGATAGAACTACCCTCTGGAACCTTTATAAGTAGCAGAGAAAAACATAAAAGAAGCATTAATTAGAAACCACTATCAATATTTATAACTCAATTCTGGAATGTTCATCTGACAACATATAAGTAAGCCATAAGCACAATAATAATATGTACATTCAAATATACAAAGGAGACCAGTAAGATAAACAACAAGATAGAACTACCCTCTGGAACCTTTATAAGTAGCAGAGAAAAACATAAAAGAAGCACTAACTAGAAACCACTATCAATATTTATAACTCAATCTGGTTTGCATTGGCATCTTTGAGTTTTATACATGAATTATGAGGCGTTTCATATGGTACAATATACAAAGAGATTCAAATTTCAAAGTTTGGTTACCATCAATGCAACGGCATTTTAATGTTGATCCTAGTCATCTGATCAAAACATGAAGGAAATAAACAAGTGATAATGTAAGGATATGCCAGAGTAGTTTTGACGGTTAGGTGATGTCTTGGCATTTTGCTCTGATAAGGTGAGTCAATGTCTATGAAACAAATAGGCATCACTTAAATAACAAACATGTATTGTTTATCATACTGGATGACAAGTATATAACCAAACAAAAGCATTGTATAAGTAAATGTTAGTCATAAACTACTGAACGACAAATTATATCATATGCATAAACATACACAGAGGAATTAAGGACTAATTTTTTACTCCATATGCACTCCTCTTGACCAAGAATAGATTACCATACTCCATCCATGCATAAAGGCGGGATAATTAGTTATATACCCAGACTGAATTGTATATGTATATAAAGCGCCCACCTAATTGGTCGCCTAGGTGGTTGGCTAAAATGATCTAAACCTGGTTCTCGGTTCTTCCAGTACCAAAAATGCGAGTAGAAGTTTCAAAATTTTCACTCATCTTCAGAATCGTATTAAGAAAATAACAGAACCAACAAAACCAAGGAGGATAGCCATATCTAGTGTCTTTCCCGTAGTCATAAAACATACATGAAAGTTATAAAAGATAAAAAAGAAACGCCGAGCTTTCCAAATAAATAAAAGAAAAAGAAAAAAAAAAAAAGATATAGCAATTATTTGAAGAAGCATAACCAACCAGCGACATGCCAAATTTGAATAGAAGCTATTTTAAGACATACGAAACCAAAAATGGAAGGCTTAAGTGGTGATGTTGTCTAATGTCCTACCGCCAAGATATGCACGTATTACTGAAGAAGAAGAAGAAGAAGAAGAAGAAGAAGAAGAAGAAGAAGGAAGATTCGTTTACCTTTGAGTTGAAGGCCGCCACTGGATTCAAAGAAAGGGTCATCTTCTAATCATCCGATGCCCAATCACTCAACCATATCGAGCGGGAGAAGGAAAGTATTGAGAAAGAAGTTAAAGATTGGGTTTTATTCTGCTCCGTGTTTGTGGTTCTGAAGTCTGCATATATTAGAGGATAGTAATACTTAGCCCCTTGAATAAAAGACCCCTCAAGCTTCCAGCACTTCGCCCCTTGACCCGTTAAAGGGGTCGACAGTATTCATAGAACCGGATCAGACCGGACGGACCGGTAAAAGTAAAAGGGTAAATTATAAAGTCCCCTTTGTACTATGGGGTCAGTGGCAAAGTCTCCCCTGTACTTTTTTTTTTTTTTTTTTCAACAAAGATCACCCAGAACTTTAGCCGTTAGACAAAGACTCCCTTTTGTTAATGTTCTGTCAATTAACTTCAAAAAAATTTTCATTCGACTGTTTAAAGTTTTTTAAATGTCCAAACTACTCTTTTTATAATGTCCATTGTCTTCTCTATTGAAGCTGCCCTGACTGAAGCTGCTTGGACTGAAGCCAGACTCTGAAATTAGGTGAAATGGCATAAAAACAACGGTTTTGAAACATCCAACAGAAAACATTAACGGAATAAAGGGGACTCCTTTAATGATGAAGATGGGAAAAATGATGAATTAGAAGATTTAACCAAAGACAACATCAAGGCCATAATCATGGTATGTGAAGTGAAACTCAAAAAGAAGGAAAGCAATAGATTAAATAGGTTTTAAGAGAAAAAGGGCAAAAAAATGAAAATAGAAAAAGTTTAATGAGATATTTTGGCAATTTAACGCTTTCCGTCATCTAACTTAACGGCCAAGGAGATCTTTGCCTAACGGCTAAAGTTTAAGGGGTTTTTATCGCAAAAAAAAATACAGGGGGACTTTGTCACTGACCCTTTAGTACAAGGGGCTTTGTAATTTACCCAAAATAAAAACTATGAATTAGTCCACCAGCCTGTTAAGTGTTAAGTCATACCCTAAAAATAGAAGTCAACCGACTAATTGATGATATAATAGAAGTCAACCGACTAGTTTTGTAAAATCAGTCCCGATTTTACAAAACTAGTCACTTTTTTCAATTCTTTTTAACTTGTATACAAATTTTTGAAGGTTATAACTTGGCTTTTCTAGAAGGACAAAAAAAATGAGATTAAGAGAGAGAGAGTAGAAGCTTGTATAATTTCAGGAAAATGGACTGATAAGATTTGATGATATAATAGATGTTGGGATATTGTCATCGGGCCAAGGTTTCAAATATCGATATAGGCCAATATGCTGGTGGGGTGTATTGTCTTGTATCAGTGTTCTTTTTTGTGTTTTATTTATTTTTTTTAAATTGGTTTAGAGGGGTTGGTTTAAGTCCCAGCTACCCTCTGAACCATGGCCTAACCCAATACACCCTTTATAGGGGCATGTCGGGAAGGCCCCAATATAATACATATGGGCTGATACAGACCGATACGTAATGATATTTTGAACCTTGCATCGGGCAAAAGCCAAAAGCAAATACACAGGGCATTTCATTGATGATACTAAATGCCTATTTGATTCATGGGAATAGGGTCCAGAATCAAAATCAAAATGGACTATTTTAATTCCAACTGTTTGATTGGACAGAATTGAAATCCTATTCACATTTCCAGTGGAATAACATTCCCTGTTTCTTGAGAATGAAATCCCATTGTAACTGATTTCGATTCTCATTTCAATTTTCGTTTGAACTAAACAAACTATGAAAATAGACCATTCCAATTCCTATTCCAACATATTTTGATCCCTATATTTGGATAGCACCAGACGAATCGGTGCAATCAAATAACTTGAGGCACACAATTAAGATCGTCTCCGTTCAGTCCTTTCTGTTACAAGAAAATCGACACTGATGAACAACACTGTAGATTGCATGACATGCAGTAAGCCAATGCTGTGTTCGCTAACTTGAAGGCTTTCAAGAATCAAGATAACCAAGGAAGCTCATCCCCGGATCATAGCAATTCCAAAGACTAACTTACGTTTGATCTTTTCTATTCCATAAAAATAAATAAATAAATAAATAACAAAACAGAACTGAGTTTCTGTTCCACGAAATTAGACGAACGGTCTCTGCAATATTACAAAATGAGACACCCTTTCACCGGCCAAAGATCAGGGATGTAATACATAACAATTGTAAATTCTATTTGTGATTGTTTTTCCAAATAACTTGATATTCATATTTGAGATAGGTAACTTTTGAATTATTAGTGTCTCACCAGTCACCTGCAGGAATCAGGGAATCTGGATTCTCAACTCCCTTGCAGACAACCACAAAATTCTGTAATCACCATACCATAGGCTACTTAGCTAGAAGCCTGAAACAAGCATCTCGTGTAGTCGTGTACGCCATGTATGAAAGTTTGTTCTCGGTGAAAATGAAAAACAAACTTAGAAGTCACTACTAAGTCTGTTGATACAAACCAATAAACGAGTTGAATTTTGGCCACGGCAACGTTTTTGTAGCTACAATGTGCCAATCAAAAACAAATGTCTAAAGAGATTCTCACAAGCCTGTAATATGAAATCCAAGAGTTAGCCTAATACCATTGCTGTAGCCAAAATGATCTCTGATAGAACATATCCAAAGTTCCAAACGGTGAAATGTAAGCTACTCTGTCACTGCAAGTGGATACATGGCAGATAATTATAAACTGCTGGTATTACCTGCATATTCACATCATCACATGTTCATCTGTTCAATTAACGGCTCTCCTCAACATTTGAGCTCAAAATAGAAAGATAAAATAGAAGAAACCGATTCATTTGTGCTGGCGAAAAAATTGGGGGCAATTAAGGCCGTCATAAATGTCAGAAAAAATCTCTTTCAAATGAGCAAGAGAAGATGACTCCGGATCTTCTGCCCACGCCTACCCACAGTACACCACCCCCTGTGAATTGGGAACATCTCCCCCTGCAAAATACTATGCAGAGGATGAGATGTTCTCTATGTGTGGCTGCAATAAACGTGGGCAGGAGATCCGGACTCAGAGAAGATGAAGTGTCTAGAGCTGATAAAGGAAATGGATAAAATAGAAGAACAGAAAATACTTTCGGAAGAGGAGAGAAGGAAAAGAGATGGATGAAGCAAAGGTTACTTTTGACAAGCTAACCTATAAAGATGAGATAAGCTGGCGTGCTAAAGTGAAATGGCTTAAGGCCGGGGATAGAAACTCAAAATTTTTTCACAGAAAGAGAATACACGCCATAGAGTCAACAACATAACCAGACTGGAGTTTGGAGACCAGAGTGGGGAGCAACCAGGTGAAATCTAAAACATTGCCATGAGTTCGGCTTCAGTCAGGGTAAAGCCCATTCGGATAGCTTTTACTGCCTTGCATTGAGAATATCTCTGTACTTGTATGCTTTATTTCATGAGGAATGGTATTAGAATGGTGTAGGCACAGATTTTCCCTGATAGAAGCCAATCTCAATTTTTACAAATCCTTGTTTTTGGAACCTTGGAAGCTTCGGCCACTACCTGAAGGGATTCAGTTCAGAACCTTAAATGAAGCCCAAAAAGAGGAGTTGGAGAAACCTTAAATTCTGAAAGCTATCAAAAAAATGGACATAGATAAATCTCCGGAGCCTGATGGACTGACAAACTTGTTTTACAAGAAATGCTGGACTGTTATCAGAAAAGATGTCCTAAAGGCTTTTCAGGAATCTCACGACTCAGCATCGCTGGTGAGAAGCAATGACACCTTTATTACTTTAATTCCTAAAGTGGAAGAGGCAGTGAATCTTAAAGATCTCAGGCCTATAAGCTTGCTGAACAGTTTCTACAAGCTTCTTGAAAAGGTGCTGGCCGAGAGATTGAAGAAGATTTTAGGAAGTGTAATTTCAGAAAATCAATTGCTTTTGTTGAGGGAAGACAGATTCTTAACAGTGTTTTAATTGCTAATGAAGTTATTGATTCTAGAAGAAGGGAAGGAAACCTAAGTATTTTGTGCAAAGTGGATCTGGAGAAAGCATACGACCATGCCAATTGACTCTGCCTAGATTCCATCCTCCAAAAAATGAACTTTAGCCAAGAGTGGAGGAATGGATGAAAGGTATGTGTTTCTTCACCAAAATTTTCAGTTATAATAAATGGGAAATCCTCGGGTTTCTTTAAAGGCTCAAGAGGCATCTGGCAAGGTGATCCCTTGTCCCCTCTCTTCTTTTTGTGTGTTATGGAAGTCCTGACCCAATTCATCAATAATGCAGGGCAGGCGGGCCTATGGGAAGGTTTTGAAATTATTCAAGGAGGGGAGAGGGTCAATGTTATTCACTTTGCGGATGATACTTTGTGTTTTATTGACGCATCATTTTCTCAACTAGAAACGTTGGTGGGAATCTTCCTTTGGTTTGAAGTGGTAACTGGGCTGAAGTTGAATTTGGGGAAAACTTCTCTCATTCCGGTGGGGAGGGTTGAAGAGATTGAGCTATGGGCAGAAATCCTTGGATGTAAGGTGAATAATGCAACAATTTGGGAGCCGGTACTGGAAAGACTAGAGAAAAAACATACATCTTGGAAGGCAAAATATCTGTCAAAAGGGAAAAGAGTGACTTTAATCAAAAGTACTCCTAAGAATTAGCCGACTTACAAGGGGACTTTCTTTAGAAAGGCTGGAATGATGAGAAGAAAGTCCATAGGGTAGCTTCTCAGTTTGGCAAGAGTATAAATGAAAATATATACAGTGCAAAACCTTGTATTTTGTATGTATAAGGTTCAGTTTGGAAGGAGTACAAATGCAAATATGTACAGAATAAATCTATACAAAATATAAGATTTTGCGCTCTACATTTTTGTATTTGTACTCCTTCCAAATGGAGTCTTAAGCTCAGTTTGGAAGGAATACAAATACAAATTTGTAGAGTGCAAAACCTTTTGTATTTTGAATTATTTTGTATGTACTTGCATTGTACATATTTGTATTTGTACTCCTTCCAAACTGAACCGGCTCAGTTTGGAAGTACAAGTACAAATATGTACACATATTAGTAACAGATTTCAGGAGGTCTGGGTTTAAGAAGAATCAAGACATTTAACACAGCCTTGTTAGAAAAATAGATATGGCGGTTTGGAGTGGAAGATCAATGCTGGTAGAGGAAGCTTATTGCTTCCAATTTCCAAATATGGGCTCAAATCAGGGGGATGGATGGCTGCTGCTGCTACGCTTCCGTCCTATGGGTGCTCTTTATGGAAATCTATCATGAAAATTCTCCCGTCTTTCTTTAAAGGAGTGGGTTTCAAGTTAGGTGATGGGAGTATAGTTCGGTTTTGGAAGGACAAATGATTGAACGAGATTCCTTTGGAAGAGATTTTTCCCCTTCTGTTCTCACTGGCTGAAAACAAAGAGGCAAATGTGCTGATTCCTTTGAGTTAGTCCGAGGTAAAGTGGTGTGGAAGCCGAGGTTCCGGAGAGATTTTCAAGACTGGGAAGTGACTGAGGTGGTGAACCTGCTAAATAACGTAAACGGTATCTCTTATGGAAACTTCTCGGTTAGATCCTTTGCTGATGGTTTAACTGGTTGTAGCCTGTAGGAATGCAGACTTCCCCTCTAGACAAATATGGGTCTCATCTGCCCCTTCAACAGTCAATTTCCTGGTCTGGACCTCTGCGCTAGGAAAATGCTTAACAAGAAGCAACCTGGCTAAGAGGGCATTCAGCCTAGAGGACTTGGGCTGTGGAAATCGTGGTCGGGTCGAGGAGACTATGGACCATCTCTGCATTCATTGCAATTTGGCTTGGAAATTTTGGTCCCACTTCTCTGCTGTGGGGGTATGCTGGGTTACGCCGAACAATGTAACGGAACTGTTAGAAGGCTGGAACCTTCCGGGGTTATCAAAGAAAGGCAAGCTCATCTGGAGATCTATCCCTGCGACAGTTATCAGCACTATATGGTCAGAGGAATAACAGAATTTTCAGAAAAGATAAAAGAACCCGGAGGTGTTGATCCAGGGTATAGTGGCTAAATTAGCATCCTGGTCATCAGTTCTTCCTGAGTTTTGTAATCAGAATGTATTGCTGATGCTCAAGTCAGCTTAAGTCAGTCAGTGTATGGGATCTTTGATCTCTTTATGTGGGGGTGCTGACTTATGTCTCATCCCGCTTTGCATAATTATTGTCCCCATCAATAAAATTTACTTTACCTTTTTCAAAAAAAAAAAAAAGTAGCATCAATTTGATCTGGCTAAGAGAATGAACTTCGAATAAAAAGTTCGCTGTTTAAAAATATATTAATCTTAGTGCAACATAGCCTCTGGAGCAAAACTGCACAAGCAACTTACAGATAAGCCCTCAAAGGAAACCTCCAAAATGAACACTTTTTTTTTCAAAAACTTCTAACCGTACCCTCACATGACAACTTGCACACAATAAGAACCCAGACCCCTCAACATGCAATGGACCCAATTCCAATGAATTTGTTGACAAGACTTACACCAAACGACCCACACTGACACCATTTCCACCCACAGATCCCAATGAATTGAAAAATAATTGTGTATGTATTAAACCAAAGATCTGTAGGAAAGAGGACAGACCACTAGCCTCATTGAAGACAACCCAGAATTTGCGTACTCCCAGCGGACCTAGGCTGAGGAAGTTGATTCCTCTTTCTTTTCCTCTGCTGCTGGTTTCGCCTGCTCACTATCAGCTTCCTTCTTGACTGCATCAACCACCTCTTCTCCAGTTTTATCCTTGGTTATTTCCTCCCCAACACTCAACTTCTCAAGGAGTCCAGCAGTTGCAGTGGCTTCTTTATTTTCCTCTTTCTTCCCTTGGGTTTCAGCAACCTCTTGAACCGTTTCCATGAAGGTTTTGCAGTCTGCAACCAAAAACTCATGTCAGTAAGAAGTCTGGTAAAAAAAACTAGGAAAAAAAATAGTACTATATAATTGCTTAAGCTTGCTTTGGAATCTGGCTTCATGTCAGTACTAGTATACTACTTCCTTTCTAAATAAGGTCATTACCCAAGAGGACCAAACATGGGCCTAACCTTTGGTACTTTGCCCCAAGTGGCTGCTCTCAGACTCGAACCCAGAATTCTAACAATTGTGAGCCTGAGATTCTACTATTGCACCAACTACTGGCCCTTAACACCACTTCTACCCAAGCATGCCTCTCAACTCCACATACCCATGGAGAGAATTGCCACCACTTGATTCACTATTTTTTTTTTTTTTTTGAAGAGTTAAGGTACACACTTGATTCAATCTCCCATCTAATTTCCTTCTCTCTGCTCTTGCCTTAAAACTTAGTAAATGAATACCAACGGGCACCAATCACATGGCTATTTTGCTCAAAAAATGCAGGCAATTTGCTTAACTTCTGAAATACCTTAAAGGTTTCACCAGATCAAAATATCTGGTTTAGATGGAGGAAACTTGAAAGCATTAATATGCCATGCACAGTTTTCAGATCTACACATGGCTTCACATGTAAGACTCCCATCAACTAAAGTGGTGAACTACATTGCATGTAACATCCTTCTTTGATATCGATTTTACAATTTCCCGGTATACATTGTTCCATTCAAATACATGGCATGTGCCTATCAGCTACTATCTATATAAAAGGAGTTCAACGCCCTGTTGATTGAACTTCCGACTTGTGTTTACAAACTCCAATGGAATCCCTCTATTTTACTTTCTCTCCCTCTCTCCTTCAGGTTGGCTTGCACATGCTATGTGCCTAGCAACAAACAGATGCAACCTATTGCTGTTAAAAACATGGTGAGATTAAATCAATTGCCATATTAGGGCACAGAAATAATAAGCAGGGAACTAAAAGTACATGAGACTTAACCACAACATAAATGGGGATCATATGTTGACCCCAAAACATGTCACCAGAAAGGCTCTCTAGCGTAAAAAGTGAAGAAAACTTCCAACTTCAATGGTAGTAGCCTTTAATGTTTCAGAGCATATTAAGGCGATCACTTCAACTATACCATCCTTGATAATTCTAAGTAACCAGCCTTTTAACCAGGTAGGACAAGAAACTGTATTTAGAAGAGGTTTTTTTCTCTTTTCATTATTCCAACTTCAATGGTAGTAGCCTTTAATGTTTCCATAGCATATTAAGGTGGTCACTTCACCTATTACCATCGTTGATAATTCTAAGTAACCAGCCTTTTAACCAGGTAGGACAGGATTCTGTATTTAGAAGAGGTTTTTTTCTTTTTTCATTATTCCATCTCAAATTTTTATTAGTAGTTATAGCCTTCTTTAGCTGCTAATTTGACATGAAACTGCTCTATTAGAAGTATATTATAATGGTATTTTATTTGAAAATATTGAAATAAATACTAGTCTTATAGATATTAGTAGTTATAGCCTTTTTATTTTATTTTATTTTTTATTTTATCACCTAAGTAACACCTAGCCAACTAGGTGCTCCACTGTTGCCAAGAATCTGTTACTTGGATATGGCAAGAACAAGGATACAGCTAGATACAATATTGTACATGAAATTTAGCCTAAAAATTGAAGTATCCAACACACTATAGCACCCCGGTACATGTATCCAGGTATTCATAGCATAGAATCACTTACACATCTTAACAATCATGGACAAACTGAACAGTAAGTACATTCTAATAAAGACATACACATTATGGTACATACACAATATATTGGCTTTACATCCCTTGCTATTATTGAATTTCAAATAACTACCACAATTTGAGGAAGCATGATGCAAGGCATCCTAAGGAATGAGGCATAAACCAGAACGCAAGAGACATAAGCCTCCTGAGTTGCTTAATTTCTAATTATCTTTTTAGACAATAATAGTAAATAGTTTGTACGAAACAGGTCAAAAAGTACAGCACACACACCAGAACATGGAGAAACTGAAAAATACAATACACATCAGAACAGAAAAAGAAAACAAATTAACAACTGCATCAGTTTTGGTTTATTATTAATAGCCATCATATTTAAAGAAATAATATTATTAAAAAGCCATTAACAATGTTTTTTTATCACTGAAAGAAAGCCATTACCAATGTTGGTCACAGATATGTGTGGTCTTGGGAGGAGTCGACAGGATACAGGCCAAACTTCGGTATATTTTGCACAAAGTGGACACTCTCAAAAGGGATAGAAGGTTCATCAACCATAATTATACAAGTATCATCAGCCATCAATACATCACTTGCAAAGTTGCAAATCAAAATTTCAGAAATAACAATTCACATAAAATACACAACATTATCACAAACAACTGGGTTATCTCATATTCAAATGACTGCAATGCATTATGAGAAATTAAAACCCACAATTCTATTTAGACCATAGACATCAACTAATACTCTACCAGATTTGTTAGCTATAGGAGGGGCTAATGTTTCAAAGCATGCATACCTAGGCTCACAAACGAGGCTTATTTTGGAAAGTGTGCCTTGCCTGAACTTAGGGATGAATGCACCCTGATCAGGCCTTGCCTGAGCAAGCCTAACTTAATTGGCTTATAACTTAAGTTTGGCCACTTTGGCCCTTGTAATAATTAATCTGGGCTTGATTCACTCAATAAAGACCATATGGACCCATTAGTGAACTGAAAATGATAGTCCTTCCCTTGCTATTTTAGCTTAATTTTGATTATGCAAATATTGATTATATGCTTTCACGTAAACAATAATAATTGATGACAAGTTCAAGTACTTGAAAATGAATTAACTGCAAAGTTAGTATTCAAACCAAATGCATAATAAAATTACTTTGTTGAAAGGGGGAGGGATGGGAAACAAAAGCTAGACTAGATAACAAAAGTATTCAGCAACAACCAGAAACTTCATGGGAGGTTTCAGCAATTTACCCTTTTTTTGTTATGAGTTTTATTTAGTTTCTAATGATTCTATAACAAGAAATTTCATGTTGCTATATCAAATATTTATTATATTAAAATGCTGGGTATAAATATTAAAATTAATAGATTTACAATGCTATTTTCTTTTAGATACAATGATTTGTTAGAGGAAATTAAGGTTATTAGTAAGGAGCATTGCTATTTTTCAATTTATATGCATGCTCATTGGTATTCCAAAGGTACTAACTTAGAATTTAGTTTTTTCAATTTATTATTATTATGTGTGTTAATACATCCTATAATATATTTTTAAGATATTTCCATTAAAACACAAAACATCCAAGGGTAAAGAATACCTCATTTGTTTTCTCCTTATGTTAAAAGCCCTATCTTCAAAATTTTTTATTAGTATAAAAATATAGCCTTTTTTTAGTTGCAATTAATTTTTTAGGATGTAATTGTTTATTGCTCTATTAAATTTTTATTACATTATAATGTTGTGCTTAAATATTAAAATTAATTGATTTAATATGATATGTTCTTTTATATGCAACAATTTGTTAGAGGAAATTGATGTTATCAATAAATAGCATTACTATTTTTCAATTGATGTGCATGTTTTTTGGTACGCCAAATTAATGAACTAACTGAGAATTTAGGTTTTTCTTTGTAAAATCCTTTTTCCTAGGCAACTATGTGCTCCACTATGACCAAGAATCACCTAGATGCCTTGACAACTATGATGTGGCACATTCTCTTGAGTTTGATGACCAAAACTATGAAAAGGATTAGCAAATGAAGGGTTTTACACTTCATATCATAGGTCTTCTGATTAGCAATGGGGTCTTCTGATTAGCCCTAATGGAGTCGGCATCATTAGGTTCACTTGGAACTCAGCACATTCATAAGCTTGGAGTCAGCACCAAACCATCAAATTGCAAGAGCAATTCAAGTTCATTAATTCATTCATATGGTTTGTGAGCATACAATGGGTTGGGAGGTCAGTTAATGCAATGGCTGATACATTAAGAAAGCATGGGGTATCTAATAATCAATTGTATTGTCAGTTGTAATTTGCATTTTCATCTTTTATAATGGAAGAGGTCAAATATCGCACCTCTCTCTAAGGGATGCTTGTGTTGTATGCAATTATTGATTTATATCAATAAATTTCATTATTACAAAAAAGCATATATAGAAATAGACAAGAATCAAATCCTTCTGAGGTTTACAAGATAATTAGCTTCCTAACAAACATCACTAAACAAGTATGGATTGTGTGCATGGGGAAAGAAACTGAAATCTAAATAAATCTAAAATATTTTCTTAATCCCTAATAAATCCTTGATTCAAATCAAATCTTTGATTGAGAGAATCTCTATAGGCCCCACTTAAACTTGTCAAAACTGCTGGAATGAGTCTAGAGCATGAGATATCTTAAATGTGTGTGCAAGTATGGGTTGTGTGTCTTAGCTCTTAAGACCAGGCCTTCTTTTTAGCCCATTTGTTCTGGCTATCAATACACCACAAAACAGATACTTTGTCCACTTAATTTGACCAGCATGGTCCAACTGTCCAAGACTCCACGTTCAACCTAGGTGGCTAGACATTTTAAGGGGCCTCCACCACGGCACCACCTAGGCAACCCGCTGAGATGTTGGTTTACACAAGTTGGCCTCTCACTTATTTCTTGAACCTATGAACATCGATATATGATCAACACATGAAAAGGCTCAAATAAAGCATGAAAGGGAACATAATATACCATTTTTAGCTGGAAGAGTTAATCCTGCCCCCTTTTTGTGCTTTGAAGGGAATTTGGAACCTTTTTTTATAAGGGATAAGAGAATTTAGAACATTTAGGTTGACACTGTTTAGGTAATCCTAAAAATAAGGAGTTCCACCCATTGATGAAGAAATTGCCTTTTCTTGTGGAAATCCTTCTTGGTCCTTGTGCAAGAAGACTAGACAAACTGATATAAAAATAACACTGATAAGTGATACAGTTTGTCCAATTAAAACATATTATTGTGTTTTAGGCTTTTATCTGTGTATGATGCAGAAGATATTGTACCTAACTTATGGCCCTAAAGTTACAAACTTAGCAGCTGCACTAATGTGCTTATATCAAGTAGAACTAATGGTACATAATTTGACTGATGGCAGAGCTTCAACCAAGCCAATTGAGCCATCATGTTTATTATGCCATAATTACTGCACATGCATACTCTTGTCACTCTGACAATACCAAAAACATCCTAACATCACGTTAGGGCTAGGAAATATAACCCAAACAGTATATGCAACAAAACACAATATCAAGACTGAAGAAACCAACACAAGCAATATAACTTCAATCCTCAAAATGATAATAACAATTTATAAGCAATACAACCAATTACCACCAGATCCCTCTATGAATCTATTGTAATATTAGGACAAACCACCAGCTGAAGTTGTACAGTCACCAGAAAGGGCTATTATTTTAACACGAGCCCATATCAATAACAACTAAAGCCTAATTCTTCTCCCCAAGCTCCCAAGACATTAAAACCCTAGCCTAAGTTCTCCATCCTCTCACAAGAGTCACAAATGTAACATGGAGGTGCATCGGCATAGAATAAAAACTTCATCTTAATCAACATGCAATTTAGCATGTAAAATCACTGAAAATATATCATAAATAGAAATCCAACATTAACTTCTCATCCTGATTTAACAGTAGAACTTTAAATTAGAACAGTTGTGTCCAATTAAATTCGATATAATCTCAAGATCAAGGCAATAGCCGGTAGTGATCAGTGTAATAAATGAAAACCCAGCAGAAGATCAAGAAGAAAGAAAGAAAAAGAAAAAACCTAGGAGACACCAGAAGTTAGCTACTCGAGAGAATACTTACTCTCTACTGATGCAAATCGAATACAGAAGAGTTCATCCTTCAATTCCCCATCGGCAAAATCAGTAGCATGCCAGAGGCACGACTTTTCATTTCCAGCGTGCTCCTGTACTGACATTGTGGGCAGAACTGTACAGGAAATAGAAAGAATACAAAATATAAACCAAAACCAACCAAAAAGACCGATGTCATCGATTCGAAAAACAGAAGCAAACACGAAAGTTTGGGGTGGAAATAGAACCTAGATGGTTAGCGCAGATCTTGAGAGTCTTTGATTGCCGCATAACCAACCTGACCCTCCCCGATTCTTTGTGTTTCAAAAGCTTTACAGTCCCAACACCTCTTTCCTTCCATTGGTTTCCATCCTTGTCGAACCGGTAAAGCTTTGCTTTCCTGCAAATACGACAACATTGAGAAGAGAATCACAAAATCAGGTAGCAAAAATGAGAATACAATAAGAAGCATACAGGAAAACGTAACAATCATAAGCCCTAAAATCAAACAAGTAATGGCTTACAGATCAAGAATGGGATCCTCCTCTTCTTCGCCAGTGGTGACGGCGACTTCTTCGAGCTTGACAATTGGGGCAACCTGTGCGCCAGTGTCTTCATCTTCGCCTGCTGCCGCGGCTTCTTCGTCTTCTCTGTGCTCGGGATCGGTACTCGCCATTGCAACCACAAACACGAGAGTGAAGAGTGAGAGAGATAATGAGAGAGCGGAGACGCAGGGTTACGAGGTTTTATAACGGGGCAAAATGAGTCAATACTCAGTGACGGGATCTGCTCCTCACAAATGAGCGCCTCAAATGCACATCCACCGTGCATTGTCTCCCATGAATAATAACTAATAAGAACGGGATGTTTACAATGAATGAGAAGATGTGCGTGTGAGGCGCCAATTGTAAGAACAGATCCGGTCTCACCAATATTCAATAGTAAAATAATAATAGTTAAAAGGGTGATTTTATTATTTCTTTGCAGATCACATCAGCACCCTACATGCATATTTCAGCGTGCAGTAAAAACAGTCATCGGAAGATGTTCTTAATATACGGTTGAGATGTGTGGAGCGCTTTGTATGGGGCGCTGATGCGATAAGAAAACAATGACGGTGATTTGAACTGTTGAACGTCGACGGTATCATCTGGTGAGCTGGTAAGGTACTAACCACAGTACTAAGGTCTCTGGGTCATTGTAGAAGACAGTTGGGATCAAATCCCGCTGTCACCGGTTTGGGGCCTTGGGGAACGAGCTAGCCTCATGTAGAAAAATGGACAAATAAAAAAAGGGTAAAATACAAAAATCTTCTCTCAAGTTTTTGATAATTATAAAAACATCCCTTATAGTTTTATTTTAGAAAAAACTTTCCCTAGATTTTTAAAGAATTTGATGAAAATCTCCCTTCCGTTATCAAGACAAAAAACATTAAATCGATTAATCATTTTTTTTCTAAATAACTATCTTACCCCGATCAGCATGTTATACCCTTTTCCTCTCCCATCGATCACTTTCTTCTTCAACTGGCCATACCTTTGAAACTCCATTTGTAGTCCTCCACTTTCAACATCTAAGGTTCATGTCTGAACACGACATCCAAATTCCTATAGCCTTCCATCCCTTTACAGAGGCAAATGTTGAGGACTCAGGTATTGGGGCAAAAAGTATGTGCATGTGCGTATATAGCAGAGAAATGGTTGGAAAATCCTAACAGTGCAGGTTTGAGGGAGGAATTTAATTACTTCAAAATAGTTAAGGATCTCAAGAAGGAATTTTGCTGCAATGGTACTATTGTCCAGGACCCAAAGCTAGGCCAAGTTATTCAACTTCAAGATGATCAATAGAAAAATGTGTTGGCATTCCTCATTTAGGCCGAAATTGTAAAGAAGGAACATATCAAGATTCATGGTTTTTAGCATCAGCACACTAGTCCCTGCATTACCATACTTTATGCATGTCAGCAAAGAACTCCACTGTTCGAAGAGGAGGGACACAACATTAAATTCACCAATCCAAACCCATTATTTATCTCTCTCTTTTCTTCTCCTCCCTCATCATTGTCCCTACACAGCATCAAACTGCTTCCACGCAGCTTGAATCTCCACCGCAAATATAACACCATTGTTGCTCAGATTCAAACATCAAATGAAGAGAGAGAAAGAGAGAGGTCATGTTATGTTATGAGTTATGATCATTCTTCAATCTTCATTGCAGTTTGCAGGACAGTTGCTGGTTAACCTGCAACCTCCGCTTTTCTAGTATAGCAATGTATGGTCCCTCAAATCTCAATCAAATATTCATCATATTCCATGTTCTATTCAGTTGGAATATGGCTGGATTAATTTCATGTTCTCATGGTTTAAAAGAGAGAGCTGGATTAATTTCATGCGTTGGAATACAACACCGAACCACCCCCACAGAGAGGTTCCGATGACAATTCGATGTGTTGTGTAGGGACAGTGAGGAGTGAGGAGAAGAAAAGAGAGTTAAATAATGGGTTTGGATTGGTGAAATGAATATTGTGGTCCTATTCTTGAGAAGGTAGAGTTTAGGGGTAAAGAGGTCGACAGGAGAGGAAAGAGTATAATATGTCAGCAAGGGTATTATTTTAGTAAAAAACTAAAAATAGATGCAACTAATTTGCAAAAGGGTAAATTAGGTATTAAAAATTTGATTCTTCGGTTTAGTGTTTTCTGTCTTAGACATTAATGGAAGGGAGGTTTTTATCAAATTATTTAAAAATCTAGGAGAGATTTTTGCTAAAATGAAATTATAAGAGAGATTTTTATGATTGTCAGAAACTTTAAGAGAGGTTTTTGTATTTTATCCTAAAAAAAAATAAAAAAAACTGATAAATTAAAGTTTCATCAGCCGTTAGGGGTGCGCGACACCATGTACCACTTTTTGCGATTACTTTGCCCAAACAAATATTATCCTACGCTTAGGTTGCATTTTGCATGATTTCAGAGAATTAATTTCAATAAATTTCGTGATATTAATAACTATTTTTACGTCCAAATTTCGTTGCAAGTTCCAACTAGACCTGTTCATGGGCCAGGCCGGGCCGGGCTCGGGCAGGGCTTTTACTCTTCATTAACAGAAATATGTTAGGCCCGAGCCCGAGCCCGAGCCCGACCCGACCAACGGGCCTACAACTTGGGCCCGAGCCCGGCCCTAATAAAAAGCCCAAAGCCCGAGCCTGAGCCCGAAGCCCGACCTAATAAAAAAAATTAGAAATTTTCCCTATTCAATAATCAATATAAATCAGAATTTATTTACATTAAAAAAATATATAAATTCAAAATTTATTTATATTAAAAAAAGAATATAAAGAAGGGAAAGAGGATGTGGAGAAGAAGAATTCGGTTGCAAAAAGAAGGGAAAGAGGTGAAAAAAAGAGGGATATTCAACTAGGGTTTTTAGGTTTAGTTATAGGTCGGGTCAGACCGGGCTCGGGCCGGGCTATTTTGACAAATCCCGAGCCCGGCTCGAATTTATTGCGGGCCGGGCTTTTTGGCCCGAGGTTAAGCCTGCAGGCCGGGCCTCTAACTTTTTTTTTTTTTGAAAGAAGTCAATATCATAAATATTAGGATCTCCAACAAGTGAACGATTGAGCTCTCTTCTTCAACAATTGAACTCTGCTTCTGGAGAGAGGAAAGGCAAGAGAAAGGATAATGAAATCCAATGGCTGCAGACTGGCAGGATTGAGTGGGRTTTTGAGAATTTCATTCAACAGTCGACACCGATCATAATGATTCATTTAGATTGCAATTGGAGTCGCTGATCAATTCCAATCTGAAAACTCACGAAGGTTCTTCCGTTCTTGAAGTCGTAACTTGCGAGTTGGTTAGATTTTGGTTTGGGTGTTAATGTTGAAATCACCAAATTTAGTGAATGCTATTTACTTGCGAAATCTGTTTCTCGATAAAAATCAAATGCTAACCAGTTTGAGAACTGAAACTCTCTTTTTGGTTCTTTCCAATAAACCCATTTATTTAAATTAGAACAGAGCCAAGACACATTGGCCATAACTAAAATTGGAACTGTATATTTCCGGCAATGCAATCACTCTTCCCATTGTTTTCATGTTATAAACCAAACACTCACAAAACTGCATCATACACTGTATCTTTAAATGCCAAACAAAAAGAAAATTGAAATCCAATTCCATTTTGTATTCACTTAACCGGACAATACATCATTTACAGCATGCAAAATTGTATTTGTACTGCAACCAAACGCAGCCTTAAGGCATGAATAAAGAAGTTCTTATGAGAGAACAGGTAGGAGAAAGATGATATATATTTTGTGTCAGTTTATTTGGGTGCAAATTTTGCACCATTTTTCAGTTTTCATCATTAATAAATCCGGTAGGAGCGTAAATCACAGTTCTAGGCAAATGGATGCAAAATTGGATTAGGTGCAAATAGGAATGGCAACGAGGCGGGGATCATATTCCCCATTCCCGCCCCCAATTTTGAAATTAACCCCATCCCTGTCCCCAATCCTCGTCGGGGATAAAATTTGTCCTCCATCCCGATACCCAACAGGGATGGGTTCCTTGCGGGGACCTAAATCCCCAAAATGTTTTTAGATAATAATATTTTTTAAAAAATAATTTTACTTAAAATAAATAAAATTTTAAATTATAAATAATGTTTTAAATATGCTTTGATATATATATATAATATAAAGAATACATGTTTAATATAAATAACATTTAAATAAATAAATATATATATATATATATAATTGGGGCCAGGGCAAGACGAGGCGGGGACTTCAATCCCCATCCTTGACCCCATTGGGTCGGGGAAGTCGAGTCCCTGTCAAGGATGAGGAAAATTGCCATCCCTAAGTGCAAATTTTGTATCCAATCCAAACTTTGAAAAAAAAATCTCAAAACTCATTCTCTAACGTTTCTTTAAAACAAAATTTTAACCAATCATATCTTCATTAAGTCATTGACTATATGTTGGTTTTTGTTGCTGCCTTCATTAAGTTGGAATCTGCTATATTTTATCACGATTCATGCATTTTCATTCAATCTATCATAAAATGTCCAATTACATGTGTTGCCACATATGCATGGATATTTACTACATACAACTGAAACTTATCACAAAAATGCATGGCTAGTGATACAAATACGCACTTAGCCTACA